GTCCATTTGAAGGCCACTGGAGATCCCCTTGCAGAGGGGTCTTGGGGAGGAGACGAGCCAGTCAGGGTGCGATGTAGCAACAATGAAAAATACAATTTTCCTCTAGTTCCTAAATGCTTCCTCCCCGTCCCCACTATCATGATCTGAATTTTACCTTGCAAGCCAGGCTAGACCAGAGGATGTGCACTGGTACAGTTAGGAACTGGAAACATGGGGAAACCAGGGCAGATGATCCCTTCAGGACCAGTGGTGTGAGTGGTGATACTGGGAGGGTAGAAGGCGGGTGGGTTGGAAAGGGGGAACAGATTACAAGGATCTACATGTGACCTCCTCCCTGGGGGACGGACAACAGAATGTAGTATTAAGTTATGGGGGTGGAGGGCCAGCCCCACCCACAGCTAGTACTACCCATGGGTTCAGTAAGCACAATTGTATGGTTGAGACATATTATTATATATGTCTCAAATATTATATTATATGTCGAGAGCATGAGAGTTAGAGAGGAGATTGGAATAAATGGAGTCAGACACAATTCATGGTAGCATTGCTCACCTCAGCCCCGTCTGATGGTCCTTGTGGAGGGAACCTGGCCATGAGAACAGGAGCAGCCTTGGGGACTGAGAACCGGGGAGCCTTCAGGCCCTCAAGAGCCAGGGAGAACTCTCGGGCCCCAGGAGCTGGAGAGAGCCTTCCGGGATCCGGAGAGAGCTTTCAGCCCCAGAGCTGGGGAGAGCCCTTCTTTATTGCTAACCAAGCATTATATTACTTTAGGGGGACATGATTACAGAATCACATATCACAGGATGGGGCAGTATAATAGGCATACACATCGTAGGAAGGGGATCTATGATAGGCATAAGCGTAACATGAAGGGATGAGCTAGGGGTGTGCCTATAGGAATGGGAAGGTCTAGAGGTATGCATGTGACAAGATGGGCGGACCCTAGATTCATGATGGCAGCCTAACCTTGGTCATCCTTGGGTGGGCTTGACCTCTCCTCTCCGGTTTCTCCTGTAAGGAAACAGACAACTACTATCCTTATCAGAAGGGA